ATAAAACACTTCCTCCTCAAAATCGCAACACACCAACATCACTTTCCAACACATACTGGCGCGTACGCGATGCTTATAACGGAATTTCTTCTTTCCTCTCACTTGAAAGAGTCATAGAAAGACCAGAGCACCACAGGTTTTTTCAAACTGAAATGAATGAAATACTTCTTTAAAAGAAACCCTGTTCATTCTATACAAAATTCCTGTTATTTTCAGTCGATCATAATATAGTTTTGTATATAGATTCACAAAACTCTTATTATAAACGAATTGAGTTATTTGAAGGGATACAGTATTGAATTCAAACAAACACTATGTGTTCAGGTCAAGTTGATATTGCTCTCCATTTGAAACAGTTCATTTTTCCCTTCAAATAGGTGGTGGATTTTGAGATGATATTATATTTTCTTGATTCAAAAATACTTCATCGTCGCAATGATATAATCAAACAAATGATGTCGTTGAAAGGCCAAGAATTTTGATTTCTTTGTTGAAAAAAGTGTGATTTTCTGGTGGAACATGGCGATGTTGGCATAAAGTAATAGTTTTTCCAATAGAGATAAAAATTTCAAAGCAACCTGTGATCTTCTTTTAAAAAAATACTTTTTACTGTGGAGAGAGCTGCAAAAGTTCTAGTTGATCATTGAGGGTTTTTAAATTGGGGTGTTCTTAAAACACAAGCACTATAGGAAAATCCTTAAAGCGTTCTAAGAGCTGTGCCTGTGCTAAAGTAGCGATTCACGTTGAATTTGAACCGCTGTAAATCAAATCCATTTGGAAAAACGTTCTCAGGAAGTGTATCCCACATCAACGCAGTTGTCCAAATGAAAAAGTTCTCAAACAGTGAAGCTCTGCACTACAGGGTTAAGGGTTGATTCACGAATTTTGTTTTCAACTTGCGAATAAACAGGGGGATCACACAAAAAACGTAATTTCAGTGGAATTCCTTTCATTTATCAATCTTATTGATCGTAGACAAACGCCTACTTCGGAGATTTTAACAAAAGCCCATTATCCGCATCGTAACAATTTCTCTGGTAGAAACTCACTAGCTATATATTCAGCCAGCTTTGTGGGAATGTTTCGTAAAGTTTCACCGTCCGTTGGTCTCGGTTCGTATGCATTTATTAGAACAATTGAGCCACTTTCTCGAAGTTGAGATTATGGCGAATGCGTCTGACTGAAAATTGTGTCGGTTTTTAGATATTCTACACGAAAACCTTTTACGCTAACAACAGGTACGTGAAGAAAATACATTTTTGTATCGGATATTCAAGTTCAACTGTTTATATGAGGATAATATAGTATTTTTTCATTTGGAAAAGGGATCTAAAAAAAACTGTTTTTCTAATATGTCGACGCTTCTTAACAAGTATTTGCTTCCTAAGTACTACCATACCGATGTCTTCAAAATTTCATAATTTGTTTCAATTTTCTATACTATAATTCCAAAATAGTAGGCACTGAATTCTCAGAAATAACTAGGACGTTCTTGCCTTAATTTGTCTCTTGCAGTGGCGTACCAAAATAATACTGAACAAATGAGGAAAAATGATGAAAAAATTTATAGAATCACAACTTTTGACAACAATGTTTTCGTTCCAATGCAATGATATTTCTGAGAATTTAGTGCTTACTTTTATGAAATTGTGCTCTAGTTGGCAGTATATATTGATGATGGTATCTATTAGATAAATTTAAATACAGTGACGTTCTTGTTTGAACCGATTTGGAACTGTATGCTTCGAATAGTTTACATCTTCATGAAACTCATCATTTGAATTAGGAATTCAACTCATATATTTGTTACGAACTACTACTACCTTCAAAAGAATTGAAATTGGCAAAGTCATTTAAAATACTTTTTCGACTTTTTTGATCTTCTAAAAATCATTTTCTTCAAAATTATAAAACGATAATTCCATATGTATATTTCGAATTATTTTTCAATATATTCTTTTGACTTGAAACAAATACAGCCTTTAGTTAGTTTTTGTCAATTTTTTTTCAACAATTTATTACACTTTTTGATTATAACGTGAAATCATAATTCGACAAAAACTATAATGATTCATTTATAATAATTGTTCCATCAGAAGTTTTGGAATGGGATTGAAAAAATGCGTTTTGATTTTTTTGGAATTGAGATAAACCATTGCAGGAAGAGAAAGGAATTATCTATCGTCAACGTTTGGGATTTTGTCAGGTTGAATTGTATAATTTGGCGAAGGAATTGGTTTGTTGATTTAAACACAGAAGTCACAAGCTGTCTACCACTACGTCGCCCTTACGATGAAGTAGTGTCTTTTATCATCTCAGTTATGTATACAGGGTCATTTTCAGTCAGATATTGAATTCCCCTGAAGATACAATTATGTTGAAATTCTGATGGTAGATTTTACATATAAATAATAAATTAATAATGATAATGAATAATAGCTGATAAATAATAAACAATAATGATTACTCAATTGTTGATAATTATTGAATAATAATTGATAATTATAAATTATTAGTTATAATCTATAATTGATGACTAATAATTAATAATTGGTTAATAATAAATAATAATGTAAAAATCCAATTCAATCATTTCATAGGATCTATACCATTTAATTTGACCACAAATGAAAATATAAAAGAGTCATACTACTCTTGTAAGGGGTTTGGGAAAAAATGTTTTGGCTTTCTACTTCTCCATCTTGATACAAAAAATGTGGGAATCTTCCAAAGGAAGAAAGAAAGCTAGTAATATCAATAAAGTCGTTATGTTATGAATGAATCGAGTGTTTTTTATTTCTTTCGTATACTATATTGTGTAGCAATCCTGTAAATGATATCTGATTCAATTCTACAAAAAATACGTTTTCCTATTCAGTTTATATTCAAAATATTCGTTATGGAATTGAATCACAATAAAATATGTGAAAAAATTATATACAATTGTAAAAATAACCTTTCACAAATACAATATAATCAAATATTATATATGATTTTTATTAATTTTTTGAAAATCACTTGAAAGTTGAGGGAAATGTTCATTGAATTATTATGGAAGATTTAGGAATCATATGAGGAAAGATTCATAAATTATTCTTGTATTCATTTGACATTTATGGAACATTTCAGCTGAATTTCTTCACAGGAATACATTCTTCATTAATATATATTTCTAAATTCATTACCGATCAAAGTGTTTTCAGATATATTTTCCTGTTATTCAATTTATTACTACTGATTTTTTTTTATAATTATCGGTAATGGTAAAAATTTTGGTGCCAAGTATCTACAAGAATGCACTTAATATATTTTTCACTTGAAAATTGTTGGCCGTTTCTTTCGTAACTACTACTCACATTCAGGGTACCACGAAATTAACAGTTAATTGTATTTTATATAGTAGTTTTCTTTTTGATCAATTGTTTTATCGTTTACAACAACCTATGTTATTTTCTAATATTTTATTAAGGGTTTTTTCACAAGTCTAATCAATACTAGGACAATGGAAGTATTCAATAAAAAAAGGTCACATCTGAAATGAAAAATAAGGTAACAATATAATCTGACATTGTTATCTGACATCGGATAAATATTTTACATATCATCAAAAGTTATCTCGACTTGGAAAAGTGGACGACAGCAGTTACTAGCAGAGAGCAGCATTCAATTGCTGCTCTCTGCTAGTAACGTCTTATAATATATGTTAAAAATGTGTTTTTAAATTTTTTTTTTGTTGACCAGCTATCGCACCCCTACGAACGACAACCCTCAGAAGTCGAAACGTTAAATATTCGTTTTGAGGTCACCCGATGATTTTGAAAAAAATGTTGAGTATACTTACGTATTTTGATGCGTAGATTACGAATCCGAAAGAAAAAAGCGGCGCTATTCCTTATTTACCAGAAAAGAAGGCAGAAAAGGGCAACTTTTCGGCCTTCTTTTTTACGAAACAAACTATTCGAAAACTCAAGCATTTATTCACTAGGTCACCTTTACACCTTATTTTCTCTCAAATGACAATTTTCAATTCAACAATCAACATTTTTCTTATAAAAAACTCAATTTAGAAACGAATGCATCTTCTGGTGACATTCTTCTATTTCTAGGTTAGTTACTAGTTACATTTCTGAAAAAAGCGGTTGGTATTTGCAGCCGCTTACTATTTCAAATTCGTAGATTTGCATTTTTAGTTTGACGTGAGTGATTATAAAAACACAAAATAAATTCGAACGAAATTAATAATTTTGTGAATGTAAGAGAAAATTTAATTATTCATTTAGTTCAAGCACAGATAAAATATTTAATCTGTGGTTCAAGTAGGAATGTATGCAGCAACAATACGGCAGCATCAGTCGTACCAACTGTGCCATTAACCTTTGAAATGTAAAATACAGAGATATATAACCAAAAAGCAGTTCCGTATATTTTTTTTTAATTTTTATTGGAAAAATGATGATTGTTGAAGTGAAAAGTGTCAAGAAAGGAGGAATAAGGTGTAAAAGTGACCTAGTGAGTAAATGTTTGTGTTTTTAAATAGTTTATCTTCGGCCGATTGACTGAGTGAACAAAGCACCCATGTCGAACCGCCCGGCTCACCAACCTAAAAAGACATTTTATGTATAATTGGTTGTAATAATAAATATTTCAGATAATCGCGCACTAGAAGATAAACAATATTACATATTGTAAATTGCTGCTTTCTCATTTCAATATTTTCTTTTTTGTGCATATGAACTACAAAAACGCTAGTTATGTATTACTACAATTCATGTCAATGGGTAGCCAAAGCATCATAACAGAGTAATTTCTTTTGTTATCTCTTGTAATTTGAGATAAAGATTTTTTAACGGGCCATATTAAATTGTTTTTATGTTTGGAGTTGTCAACAACTCCAGTAATACCTGAAAAGAAGACTATTTGTAATACCAACTTCATTTTCATTTCTCTTCAAATAATGGGTCGTTTTACTTTTTAAACAACCCTAAAAATTAGATGAAAATCTTATGTGCCTTTTTTTACAGCGACACAAGCTGCTCCCTCTGTCGAAGCTTGTCCGCCCGATAGCGTCGTTTCCGAAGATTCCTGCAAATGTGATCCGAACTCTTGCAGCAAACCTCCCTGTTTGTCGGAGCTCATTCTGGCTACGAATGGCAGCGATCTACCCGGTCAATGCTGCCCAGCATACTCTTGCGTTGGCTGCGCGAACGAAACAATGATCGATGGAAAGTGTCCTTGCGCTACAGGAGCCATAATCATGGGACACACATGCGTTTGTGTGGACAGAGGGAAGAGTTTGGTAGGTAAAACAGGATGCTTTTCAATTCTAGCTTCGATGTAGTTAGTTTTATCCAAAAGTGCCAGTAGATGTCGCTCGATATTCATTTTTTCAGTGGTTCATTGGAAAAGGAATTCATTTATTGTCCTTTATGATGCACTATTTGGAACCTTTGGTATAGTAATGAAAATCGTTATTTTTCAACACCTCGACACGTGTTTCGATCACCAAGTGATCATGTTCTAGAGGACGATTAAACTGTTTAATCTACCTCTTGAAGATGATCATTTGGTAATCGAAACACGTGTCGAGGTGTTAAAAAATAACGATTTGGTGTTGGGAAAAAACTCCAGTAATATTCTTTACTTTGTACTGTAGTTTGTTTGATAATTTATCTCAAGTTTCTGTCTTAATTTAAATTTTAATTCTGGAAATTTGAAATATCAAATGATAGCGAGAGCTTGTGTCGATAATAAAACATTCACGGACATCCACCAAAGCATGATCATTTCATTATTTCACTTTCATTGTAATTTTGTCACTATGGAGAGGGATATTTTATCTCGTAAATAGGTAAATTTGTGGATCAATTGAACAAATGTGGCTTCTTTTCAACTCATTTGAGTAGGAACTCAGCCTTCATGAATATTACCACATTTTTCAAAACTCTATCAACCTATGATGTCATATCTAAAAACTCAAACCTTTTAGGCCCTATATGTGATATTTAGAACAATCAAAACTTTTATATTATTTATATTTTATATTTTAGGAGTGATTAATTTTTGGGAAAGAGAGTTTTTGTATTTCTATTACTCCATCTAAAATCGTAATTCATGAATGAATTGTGTGTAGTTTCTATAATGTTATCCAATTTGGTACTGAAGAGCCTTGGGGCAAGTGTTTTAAGGCGAAACATCGATGTATACCAATGAGGATGACAGTGTTCCATGTAAGTGCAATTTGTTACCATTCATTTAAAGTAGAACTCATGTGAATGATATCAGATTTTTATTCCACAACGAATGTTTGAAATACAAACTGATTATAATTCTCTGTATAATTCAGTGTTCTTATAGAAGTATTTGTTTCGAAAGAATTTTTTTCTTTTGTGTAATTCAATGTTTATATGAAAGCAGCTGGTTCAGGAGGACTTTCTTTCAGTTTGTATCTGAAAGTTACTTCTTTGCATGATCTACACATCCATGTATAGAGTTACTCATTTTCAAATTGATTACTTCATTCCTTTCTTTGGAAGATTCCCTCACCGTTTTTTTGTATCAAGATGAAGTAGTAGAAAGCCATAAACTTTCTTTGTCAAAAATCATAACTTATAATGACATATCTCAAATTTTGAAAATATTTTACTTCACTTGAATTTATTTAAATAATATGACAGCAGGCAAATAGATGAGGCATATCTCAAGATATCTAATTGTAATAACATATCTATGTAGGATGCTGAGTATGTTCAAAGGTCAATTTAAACTTCGCTAAGTAAATCCAGCTCCTCAATGAAGCCTATTACTTCGTTGGGGAGTGATTTTTCAGTTCAGATAGCTGAAGTGAAACTTTGCCAAATTCTGCAAATCTAATTCGGTCTGCAGCGGGTTTGGTACAAAGTATGTGCTCTGGTATTTCATCATTCAAAAAAAGACGGTATGTACTGTTTTCCGACAGTTCAAGTCTCTCCATAAAGTGATTTAATTGACAGCGACCTGTGAGTAGGCCTCTCAGTCAACTTAGATCACCCCTGCTATAGTCTTCGAAAGTCTCCCGAAGTAGATTTTGACAGAAGTCTACAATTCTTCTTGAATTCTACATATTCAGTGTATTTTTTGCGAAACCCAAAGCGATGCAGCCAATGACAGGCCCTGGTCCAATGAAATCGCTTGCAGTGCTCTACCTTGCAAAGTAGTCAGCAGCTTCATTACCTCCCAGGCCAGTATGGACTGGAATTCACATCAGACAATTTGTTGAATCTTCCTATTGGCAGAGTCTTTTTTCGCTTCTTTGACAGTTCACCTCCAACTTGGATGTTTCTTAGATATAGTCAAGTGCTTTCAGATACCCTTTGGATATGCGAGAATATTTATATTGATTTATGTGTGACATTAGTTTCCGCCAATCTATCCACGCACAAATCCATGGAGGAGATTTACGCCCAAAATATGGTCGCATAGGACCCTAAGAAAGCTGGTATCTCTGTCTTGGGTCTGCGATCGTATACAACTGCACCAGAACCTGGATATACTTTTGATCCATCAGTGAACCAACAGCTATCTGCTCTTAGGCGGAAAATCCCGTCCTCTTTACTAGAGTACTAATTTAGAAATTAGTACGGAATAAAGAGGTCGTAGTTGACCGATACAGGCATTAAGTCAGAGGTCATTCCCGAAATGCTTTCGACTTTTAGTGTCTACCAGCAGTCTGCCACGTTCCGCCTTAGTCTGTTTTGCGTAATTGACAAAGTGCACAATTCCTTATAACCTCCATCTCTCTCTTCTTGAAAAAATGTGGAGAGGAGGTATTTCCAAAGAGATTTGTAGTGCTTGCGGTTGATGCTGATGGTACCAGGAAAAGCTGTCCAGAAATCCTCAGCCGTTTGCTGTGAATATTTCGGCTACTATCCATACGTGATCATCGGTTCAACAGAAATATCCAATGAATTTGTTCAGGCTCCAAGATTTTTCACTACTCTTTTGAAGTTTTTTTGGGGATATTCCAGCTTTGAGTAAATCCTAATTCGTCCAAGACATTCTAGCTACAAATGGCAGTGATCTACCCGATCAATTCTGTCTAGCGTACGTTGGCTGTTCGATATGAGTTTTCATCGCGGTATTAGACCCGCTATCATTGGTAAATGAGTTTGTGTGAACAGAGATGAGTTCATTAGGTAAAACATGGTGCTTTCAGATTCAGGATCCGATGTAACTGGTTTTGTCGAAGAAATTATTGGCTGAAAATTCTACGTCTACTGATAATTACGTCTACGGATACCCAAAAGATACAGATGGAACACATATTCGATTCATCAGATGATCATAAGCCAAATTAATATTGCTTTCAATTTAGGGGTATTGCACAATGATTACCTTCTAAAAGGTTTTTCCGAGTTATGTTTTTTTATAGACCCATCTGTCAATCTCATACTATACCAAAGATTCTGGAAACCCCACAACTGGTATATGGAGTTGATTATTCCTGTCTGGATGGTCATTATCAGCTATCTCGTTGCCTAGGATACCTGAGTGTCCTGGCCCACAATATTACAGTCAAGTTATTCGTTCACGTCAGTTTTCTCAGTTCTTCACGGCATTTTCAGACCAGTCTCGATATCACTTTTGGGTTCATCAGTGTCCCAATTGCTGTTTGGCTGTCTGAAAATTAAATGTTCTTCGTGCATTACAAGATTGCATACATTTCACTTTGTAGATTGATAAGTACTGATAGTACAGTAAATTCCAGCTCACATTCCATGTTCGGTTTTCTACTAGTCTGTATATCAGATGTTTCTGGCGAGCATATACCCGGGTTGACTGTTCTTTTTCCCAAACATGGAAGTTTTTGCACCCTGCTAAGTTTGTTAACAGCGGCTTTATTTTGATCTCTGATATATGATCATAGATGCATATATTATCACGGGATTAACCACCATTGTATGGAGCCAATACATAATGTCTGCTTTAAGCCCCCAAGTCTTTCCGTAGGTGCGTCGAGCCAGCATCAGTGATACCTCCGCCTTTTTTCCACTCTTTCTAGATGTTTTACCAAGTCAGCCTGAGATCTAGATATTTGACCTGCTCCGACAGATGCATGTCTCCACCTCGAAGTCATAGAGGTCCTAGACCACCTGTTTCGGTCATTTCAGATTACGTTGAGCGTATGTTCAGTCCTTCTAGTCGATCCATCTATTCAGAGCCTGATGCATGTGTCCTTTCACTATACAGCGTGACTCACGGTCGATGGTAGGTTAGACGTTTCTGGAAAACGCAAAGCATGATTTTTCTGAAAATTCCACCTCTCACATTTCCTTACCTGTTTTATCGATCTGTATATTACTCGATGAATTGAAAGATGGTGAAAAATGCTTCAAGATGATATACAAGTCCCTATACCTGAATCGTCAAGTTTTCTTCCGTTTTTCCGTTTTTGTGGAAAAATAGTTATTCACGTTTTGCCTACAAGTGTTGAAAGTGGCATTTTATTTTGTGAGTGGGGATTATTGCAAAACAAGCGTCAGCAAGTGAAGCAAACTCACGAGCAGAATAAAATCACTTCTAACAAATGTATCATACAAATTTTTTTGTATAACGTTACTGCTGATAATGAAAAAAATTATAGGGTCCATGGAATTTGAACACACGATCTTTGAATTACAAGACATATGTTACAACTACATACGCCAACTCACGTTATTTTAAGGAGGATTATTGGTTAGTCATGAAGGATTTTCTTCAGGTGGACTGAATACTACTTCGTCATCGTCAGTAACTTCACAGGGATTTAATATTACCAATAGCACGAACTGCACGTGTGAACTTTTCTAAATGATTTTTTGGAAGTGTTCTGATTGAAGTGTTTCTATCAAAGAGATTTTCAATAACAGATGTTATTGTCTGTACTTTCACATGTTTTAGCCCACAAAATCTTACTTTTTACCTAGAAATGACTGAGTTTTGGTACAGTTGTTCCCTGGACACTTTGACCCATAGTTAAGGAAATTATTTTGTAACCTTACAAACTTCCTCACGTTTTTACACGTTCTGACAATGATTTGATCACTTTGTTCATGTGTTCATAATTTTGGAAGATGATTCGAAACACCGTCGATAACTCTTTGTAAATTACTTATAAAAGTAACCGAACTGCTATAAGCTTGATAAATCCACTGCTACCTAAATCCAAATTCTAAAAAAAAATTATGTTTCTAGAAGAAGCGAATTTATTGAGAAAACTTGACGATTTAGGTATAGGGACATGATATATCATCTTGAAGCATTTTTCACCATCTTTCAATTTACCGAGTAATATACAGGGGGTTTCATTTGAAAAAATGAACTTTTGACTACTTTTATGCACAATGGAAATAATAGTAATTTTAGCACGCCCTGTATGATATGGAGTCGATTTCTTGGTGTTATTTAAATATTTCGAGGTTGTCCAAACTATCATCAAAATATAAACTCTTCATGAATTGAGAGTACTGATTGATGTACTTAATTTCAATTAAGGCTATGTTTTGGACCATATTTAGCACAATTTATTTTTTATCTCGAAAACAGATAGAGATAGGTATAGGACATTATCAACAAAAAAGTATTAAAATACCAGAGCGATTCCAAAAATGTATTAATATACGGGGTGTTCCGTTTAAAAAAATAAAGTTGCTAGGACTTTTTGATCGAAGTGGCAACGCCGCAATGCTGAAAATATTTTATATCGATAGGACAGGTAAGAAAATGTGAGAGGTGATATTTTCAGAAAAATCATGCTTTGCGTTTTCCAGAAACGTCTAACCTACCATCGACCGTGAGTCACGCTGTATAATTAGAATAGAATGACTAACAGTAAGGCAAAACCCTAAGGATACTTACTACCCTTCATTTTCAAGAGGAAGATTAAACTTCCTCTTGAAGGTGATCACTTGGTAATTGAAACACGTGTCTAGGTGTTAAAAATGACGGTTTGGTGTTGGAATCTTCAAGAGAAAGTTTAATATTCCTCTTGAAGATTATCACTTTGTGATTGAAACACGTGTCGAGGTGTTCTAAACAGGTTTAAATTTTGTAATACCCAAATTCGTTAGTTATGGTGTTTTTCTTAGGGAAGTGCGAATGTAATCTTATAAGTGTTGTTCCGAAACGAACATCTTAGCAGAAGAGGGAATTATTGGCACTGCTCGTTATTATAAGTTTCCTTTAAATTCCATTGAAATATCTACACAAGAAAACGTTATATTTGTAGTCCATAATGATTAATTACAAATTTTCCTTTAGATTGATGGAAAGTGTGTTTGCAACCCTCTACAATGTCCAATGCCACAACTTTGTAATAAGACATCAGTAGCAGTTACTGTAACCGACGACTGCTGCAAGAAAACCATATGTCAACCGTGTCCTTCTGACAGTGAATCAACCAATTTGGAAGGAGGTGAACTCGAAGACCATTGTGTATGCCTGCCGTGCAAAACTGATTGCGGCAATAACAAGACAGTGAGTACGCATTTATTTTTATTGGGTTTGTTCTGGTTCTAACATTCGAAACTGTTTGAAAACTGCCCAAGACATGATGCGTACAAGCCAAAAATCTCAAACAGTCCGAAATGGTCACGAACACTTGGTTAAACCAGAACGCATTTTGAGAAGACCACTGTGTCACCTATCGTTTATTCTATATGAAGAGATGATTACGAGAAAATACTGGTGATCATGTCCATTTTGTTATATAGCGTATCTTTGTAGTCAGTTCAAATGTTGTCTAACCTCAATCATCAATTATTTATTTCAATGAAATAAAAAGTATCCTAAAAAATAGCCCAAACAAACTTCCACATGAAAGCGCTTGAGCAACGGGAACAGTTCTCAACAGTTCAGCCTCGAGAGCAAGAACGATTCGGGACGGTTCAAGACGTTTAGGATCATTTCGCAGTCGAAACCAGAACAGAATATTCATCAATCCGGACTTATCCCCAATAAACCAGAAAGCTCTATATCAACTGCGCATGATCCTGACGTCCTAGAACCCGAATTTCGTAGAACCAGAACAAACCAGAGCTTCATATTCCATTCACTGGTACCCCTCAAAGTTGCTAGAAGTGGTTTTTGAATATATTCTGCTAGACCATCTTCTTGAATCCGCTTCCGACCAGATATTCATTCGGCTTCGCTAGTTGTCTGACTGAACTGCGAATATCAATGATACTCCATAGGTAGCTGGGGTAGTTGTCAACATAACGTACCAAGAAAACGAGGCTAATGGCCATAGTGGCCAATGTCGAAAACCGACATTTCTTCTTTTGGCTGTCAGTCACTGTACGAAATCTAAAAAAATTTTTCTTCATATACAAAACTATTTCGTACCTTTCGAACTTAGAAACATGTTTTCCTCTACCTAAGGTTCTCCTTCCAATGCTAAAACGGTTTCGCTTTCTATTCGTAGATTTGCTTATAGTATGCTCAGGTGTATCAATCCAGAACATTACAGTGTGGAGAAATAATCGGTAGGTATATTCAGTTTTGATTACACGAGGGTCAAAATGGGCCATAGACGAGCTTGGCTGGTTATTCAAATTCCGGCATACTTAATTTCGTGTATCAATCCAGAATTTCCCAGCCGAGCGCAAGAGATCTGAGAATACTAAAAGGCTATTGTTTTATTTCTTTTGTACTTAATTCATGAATAAATGGCACTTTTCTTGAAATTATTTCTTGGAAATATCTAGAACACATCGTCCAATTCATTATTATTAATGAGAACTAGAGTAACACCCAGTATTCATTCGTCTTTTCATATAATATGTATGAAAATTACCATTTTTTTGGATAATGCCGATCAAATCAATAGGGCAACACCGATCATGACCATTATAACTCATTGGAAGTTTTTGCCTGCCCCTTTCGAATAATATGTTAACCAATCTGAAATTGGCTGATTTAGTCACTAGAGGGCACAAAGAAAGAAGGCAAACTGTCATTCAAGTTCAAAATGCTCTGCACTCTGTAGAAAATGAGTATATTCAATTTGGGAAGCGATTATGAAGTATCGAATGAATAACAAATAAATTATTCATTCATGAGTACATCAACTATACAATATTGTGGAATGAACATGGCAATACAATTCATAGCAGAAAATATGGTATCAGTCGAGGAAATAGTTGTTTTCCGGCTGGAACGCACTTTTCCAACCTGATGGCCCATTGTCTGAAATAAAGAAGACTTTTCAATCGCACCTTATTGGAGTCATGGCAAATTAAAAAATATTACACATCCATGATTCTTGTCTGTCTTGTCTACCATTTCTGGCATTTCAAAGACCTGAGAAATAATTATATTTTTAGTGAATATCAAAACTTGATATTCGCAGAATGAAAATAGAAACAGCATTAAAAAAATATCAAAATTTCAAAATAACACTGACAGAAATTCTCGATTTGCAGGTGGTGATAAAGAAACACGGCAGCGGCTTTCCAGGTAACTGTTGCGATCTCTATGAATGCAAAAAATCAGAAGAAACTATCGGCTGTTTCTACGGCGAAGAATTTTACGAAAACGGAAAAGAATGGCTCACTCTCGATTCGCAAATTTGTAAATGTAACAATGGACTCTCCCTCTGCTCCAAAGCCAAGGAAAGAGAGGCTCAGTCTTGCTTCATGGACAACAAGCTGTACCACGATTCGGAGTCCTGGACCCGTGAAGATGGATGTACTGAATGTGTTTGCAAGTAAGGAATAATTATCAATAGTTTGTCTTAGATTGCTGTAATCGATTCAACAGAGGAATAATTCCATTTGACATCGTGTGATCTAAATTATATCATCATAATATAGTGAATAAGATATATCATGATACATTCTGTCCTGAGAGACTCGTATCTTCCCAGAGAAATGTCAAAATAGTCACTACAGGTGAGGCAGTTTGTGATTACTTGAAAGATTTTCATTTCCTTAGCTATGTTGACCTTTATTCTGCTGAATTTTCTACAGTATATACGAGTAGAACACGTTTACACGAGTATATAACAATCAAGGTTCTAACATTCACTACCTATTCATACAGCTCAAGCTCAACTGCACATCCATTTTTATAAAGTCATTCCAATATCCGGTTCAAAATTCAATCCTTCCAACGTTCTATCGGCGTTGGTTCAATGTTACCACCTGTTGCATCGATCAATTCAAATGGGATTATTCACATATGGCGCTCTCTGATTCTCTCATTGAGTCACTCAATCAACAGTTCTGAAATTGATTTGCTCTACTCATTACTAAACATTTTATTTTCAGAAGCGGTATAGAACAATGTATATCCCACTTTTGTGACGTCAAGGAGAGCCATATCCAGAAGAATCATTTCTGCCTGAAAAACAACCACATCTATCAACACACAGAATCCTGGACTGAAGCAGATGGGTGCACAAAGTGTACCTGCATCAACGGAGACGAGAGCTGTTCTAGTGATCTCTGCGAGGAACAAACTACTATGAAACTAGCTGAATGTCAGCCATTGTCCAACTGCAACAAAACTTGTATCAATGGATTCAAGATAAACAAAAAAGGATGCGAAATATGCAGGTGTAATATTGTACGGCTAGGACAAGATATCCTTTTCAAATACAATATATCGCTAAATGAACTCATCGGAATGTTGGACGAATACAAAAACAAACGAACTTCGACTCCTTCGATTTCTTCGACCACGACATCGACTACTACTACTACCACAATGAAAAGCGTAATTGAATTAACAAGCAGCACAACCAGACCGTTTGTTGTTGTCAACAGAGCTAACTTCTTGGAAGACACTTCTTCAACCACCCCTGAGCCTGTGGTAGTCCCAGCTGATGCAGGGAAAGGTAATTATTTGTAAAATAGGTATTTATGAAATATTCCGTTCATAATTATTCCCCCAAACTCCCTAGTTGTTTCATTTATTCCATTTCATGGGAGATTAATCACATTCTCTTTGTGATATGATCCAATTTTTACAATACATCCTCCGATTTTTGATGGTAGTAAGAAAGGCATAACATTTGGTACATGAGGAAGAGCTATAGGGACTACGACCTCCAAAACTCAAAAGTGAAGAAATACAATTGTCGAGAAAAATGCATTGGTTATTCACAAAGCTGGTATATGATGGAATCGGCCGATACTTGATGAAAATCCATAACTAACGTATTCCAAAAACACTTATTGTGAGATTTTCACTTAATTGTTTTACAAAAACGCAACACGTGTTTCGCCATACAATGGCTTCATCTGGCGTGCCTTTCAACTAATTCTACACATTCAATACTAAATATATATATAGTTTATGGAGTACCTGAAATCAAAGTACCTGTAAACGAAGTACCTGAATTTTAAGTAGCTGATATTTTACCTGAGTTTCTAACGAATTAAATTACCTGCACTTATGTTCCATTTTCACATTTGAAAAAATATATTCAGTAACGGAGAGTTATTGAGTTCTAATTGATCATTCAGTAAATTACCCGAATTCCTGAATCTATTGATTTCTAAACATTCTAGATGATTAAGTTTCAAACTCTTCTCTTCTAAATGTAACACCTCGTACTCATGATTGAACTCGTGTCCTTCTGCTAAAAGATGGTTTGCAAANTAAAATATCAGCTACTTAAAATTCAGGTACTTCGTTTACAGGTACTTTGATTTCAGGTACTCCATAAACTATATATATATTTAGTATTGAATGTGTAGAATTAGTTGAAAGACACGCCAGATGAAGCCATTGTATGGCGAAACACGTGGTACGTTTTTGTAAAACAATTTAGTGAAAATCTCACAATAAAGTGTTTTTGGAATACGTCACAAAGCTGGTTAAAACCAGAACATATTTATACAACATATACATTTTCAGTTCAGTAACAAAAGATATAAAAACGACTACTGTTAACAAACTTGGTGGGTTCTTGTATGTTTGGGAATGACTGGGAGATACATCTAACCACTTGTAATGAGGAGAACAATTTCAGGCCGAAATCGAGCTACAAAAGAAATCAAAAAACTGCTTCATCAAAGCGCGGTTCGGTGCAGAATAATTTTAGAGATATCCTATCTCACTGCCAATTTAAAGGACACGAACACAATATAGTGAAAGGGCAAAGACAGTTCATTATGATATGCGAGAACATGAGAAATTGACTCACAATTAAACATTTGTGAACTTTCACGGCCTGAAATTAATGTGCCAAAACTGTTTTCCGGAGTTGTTAGCCGGGATATATAGGTTTTATCAATGACTTTTCGTAAATGACTGCGGTAGACATCAAAGTTTATGAGGCAACGAATGATGTAGGCACTGTAGATGTTGTCACAGTAAATCTAATAGTGGTCTCCAGTTCTGTGCTGGAGTTCCTCTGGGTTCCTTAGCTGACCTTAGACCTTCGACTCTATATGATGATTTTCGTTGGCCTGAATATCGATGTCACGTTATGTTTCTCGAGGACTCTCCCAGAGCAGTCCGTAACATTCTCATCGTGCGGATAAGCTTTTCCACTGACATGCCTATCTGGAGTAAATTCAACACTATCTGTCCTAGATCGTATTGTTCACTCAAATTCGATTTAGCTGTACATATTTCATTTGAAGGGATTTTCCAGAACGATTAAGTTCTTTTGAAAGACTTAGGTTCATAGATGGGTCAGGCACTCTCAACTAAAGTTTCAAATAACCGCCTTTACTTTTGTCAAATCGGTGGTTAAAAAAATCTGTTTGAAATCTTTTTTTCCATTAATCAGTTGTCGCACCCCTACGAACAACAACCCTCAGAAGTCGAGAAGCGAGCTAAGGATTAACGAGGTCTTGCTTTTTGACGTGTGATTCCTAACACGGAGGCCAAAATATTCCTCCGTCTTCATAAATGGGCAAAATTCAAGTCTAGGTATACGCAGCTCTTTCTTTATTGATTATTTCTATTTATCAACTCCTTCGACAAATATCGAAGGAGTTTCGAAGTGTGAATTATGTCAATGTTTTTGATTGACTTCTGAAACTTTCAATGTAGTACAAGGTGATCTCTGAGATCAGTATGTTGCTATTTCGCCACTATCCATATTTTTCTTCAAAACGGTTAGCCATGTACGATCCATTTCTAAGCAGCTGTTGAAAATACACTTTCTCCAGATATTAGAATGTAAGCTGATTCTTCAAGTTTACGTCTCTTAGAGTGTTCACTATTAGAGTGTTCAATTCGCTCGTTTACCGTCTGATTCCTAACAAGGGTTGAATTTTTTATCTGTAAGCGTAGATTTCCTGTAACTACACTATGTGACCTAGTGCCCATGTTCACCAGTACATTCAAGAAGACGATTGTTGCTTAGGTTTCCTGTTCCCATGAAATGGATTTTCGGGTTAGGGGAATTTGGATATGGAAGAAATTTGTTTGGTTGCTGCCAAATTACGATCGTATCATCAACGTAACACCTTCCAACAATGTAGTTTCATGGCACCGCAACGAGCAGTCCGTAATAAACTGCTCTTTGCGGTGCCATCTCTTTGTTTATAAAAAAATTCATCGCACTGAAAATAGGTATTTGATAAATAATGAGCGAACAAGGCGATTATATCACTCGAAAGTATAGTGTCTTCTACTGGGACCATCATACAGTGTGTCAATTTGAAAACTTCCCACCCTCAATATCTCCCTTCCAGTACATAATATGAAAAAATGGTCAGACAGGTCAACTTTATTTGCAAGGGGGACACTCTGAATGAATATTTTCAACCCTCGGGGTTCAACCCCCTAGGAGGGGTGGATGTTACCCTCAGAATTTCAAATGGAAAGGGGGGTCAAGTGGCACATCATTTTGAAGGGCATTCAATTC